TTTTTTTGTTATTGAATTTTTGTATTATTTTTATTATTTTTATTATTTCCACCAACGCCCAGTTCATGTATAAAGGATATATAAAATCATTTCTCACATGTAATTTTCTGAATGATAGCTTTACCGAACTTGTTCCGTTACGAGTTCGCCCTTAAGCGCATGTAATTGCATTATTGCGTGGGACGAACGACGCAATGCCGAGAATCCGTAAATGCGAATAAATAAACCGATATGGGTAGATCACATATCTTCAAAGAAAATTGCACTGTCTAATAAGCATTGTGCCAACAGGATTATATTTAATCAGGTAAATCGGGTTAATCTAGCGTAAACTGCTTACAGATGGAAAGACGCAATGGTAAAAGTTTTTTTTCGACTACTGGTTATATTTAGTTGTACAGAATTTGCCGCAGTCATTAGCAGTTTTTGTGCCATAGTCATTGTATCAAAAGAAACAAATTATTTCATTTGATTGTCCTTCACTCAAATTATCTGTTCTCATGCTGTTTTCTTTGCACTTAATTTAATAAGACTATGACCTATATTCGGCTGACCCGATTACTTTTATGACACAAACATGGTATTTATTAGTTATTTGAACTAAAAATAAGAAAAACAAGCCTTAGTCTCATATTCGATTTTACCGATCTCTGTATATTTGTTCCTCCCGGCATGTTCTTGACAGCCTTCCATATGTGTGATTCGGGTTTCTAAGTGCATTTAAATGAAAATCTGAGCGCCCTTTGCCTTTGGGAATACTTTCCAGTTTTCAGTTTCCAGTTTACAATTCGAAGCCATTAACATAACTGCCATAGGGCTCAGATGAAAAGTTTTCTTCGAATACAGGCACGTGGGTACGCATTTATTAGCTGAATAGATGGATATAACTCTCTTGATGAGAACAGGCGATAAATGGTATTTGCAAATTGAATTGTAGGTGTGCGATGATAAATCATTACTTGTTAGCCTTTTTGTACGATTACTCGTTATATATAGTGTATAGGAGATATAAAATTTAAATTGAATATTGAAACATAATATACTCTAATAATAGGTGATGATGTATCAACTTTTATACAGGCGCGTTCTTAATCAATCTTTTGCTATTTCGATTAATGGGAACTGGGTTATTAGGGACTTGTAATTAATTGCACAACATAAACCAATAAGTCTTAAAACGTGTTTGAAATCAACTTCTCGTAGGCTAAGTTATAGTAATCGCAAAGAAATTGAAAATAAAAATTTTCATATATCTTTACGTTTCAAAACCGTCTGAACAATTTGGCATACCTTAGAAAAAATGGATGTATGTGAGTGTATGTTTTTATGTTCAACTTCACATCATAAATATCACTATTTACTGAAATGAAGGGCATGGTCACGTGACAACTTTTTGAGACACTTTTACCAGGCTGTGTCCAAAATTACGTGATTGATTTTTTAAGGACTTTAGGATGCCCCTTACCCTTGGTCATACGTCGTAATTTTTAGAATTACCCTCCCTGCCCTTCTAAACGTTACTTGTATTTTTAGTTACGTAAAACTTTCTGAACGAATTCGTTGAATTTACAAAAAACGTAAAATTTTTGTGTTTATTTCGAAAATTTTTGTAAAAAAGAAATACACATCATATCTTACTATCATCCCTCTCACGTCATATCATACAATCATCCCTCTCGTCATTTTTTGTGTTTTTTGTTAAATCCCCCCTAAAAAAGCCTCACGTCCTAAATTTTATATATTTTATTTTGATTGATGGACGCTCCCTCACCTGCAAGAATTAAAATTTTTTGACTGTTTTTATTTTTTCTTAATTTTCAAAAAAAATATTAATAACTATTATAAAATAAAATATTATTATAAAATAAGATGAAATTGTCTAAATCTTGATGTATTTACATTTGTTTCTATTCTTGCAAAATTTTATAAAACTTTAACTTGAATATTGAAGATTTTTTTGATTGCTGTTTAAAAAGTTATTTTGTGTAAAAAAAACTCGCAACAGTTGAAACAAAACCATGG